CGCTTTTTTTTTTTTTTTTTTTTTTTTTTTTAATGGGAACAAGGCTCCAATCTATTCGTGGGGAAACACACCAATGCCACGAACGGATTTTATCGATGGCGAGTGCAGCCTCCTGACACTTCAGGTAGTAGGCTACTACCTGAAATTCGGAGGCCTGCAGGTAGTGGTGGTTTAGTGTACACCCTATTATTCATGATGGTCACAGCTTTTCCGGAACAGCATCCATACGTAAATCCACTTTCATCTGCCGAAACGGCATCAACAGGATGCCCAAAAGCATTAAACTCGGTGCGGACAGGTTCGCATGTTTTCTAAATGATGCTCAGACACAACTCCCTCAGAAGATGGCCAAAAAGGTACTAGGCAGAAAGAGAAAAAAGGGGGTCTAACTATAGACTCAACCTCTTCAGTGAATGGAGTTTTTTTCGTTTGCTCGTATGTTCCCTGACCGAAGAGGAGGAGCCTAGTACTCAGCCACGGCACGTCGACGAGCAGCACCACGCTCGTTCCTCGGCTCTTTGTCTTCACGTTCGGCAGCACCGTTTGCCTCCCTCAGCGCAGCGTTCTCACGTCGGAGAGCATTGTTTGTCTCCCTGAGGGTTGCATTTTCACGTTTCAATTCTTCAATCCGGCCGTAACATCTCTTGAGGTCCCGTTGGACCAGCTCGCTAGAGTACGGACAGCGCTCCATGTGCGCCCTAAGATCGCCTCTGGAGACCATCTCAGGGCAACCGATGTTCTCGTTGTCACAGTGCACGATCTCACCGAGGCAGGAGGTTCTGTTGTGAGATTCCATTTCCGTGAAGCGCAACGAAGCGCCACATCGAGGGCAGGGGTCAACCTCCCTTGCAGGACAAATGGACCGCATATGCAGAGCGTGGATCAAGCCTGTCTGCGGAATGACGGCCGGGCACCCATAGCTGTTTCCGGAACATCGGACCGGTCGAAACGGGCATTCCAGTATGTGAAGTTGCAAGTCCTCGTATCGGATGATCTCTGTGCAAAACAGTTGCCCCTCGAACGCGTCTCCTTGTCCAGGCGCAATCCCCTGAATACTCTCCAAGACAATTCGGAGCGACACGTACGTTCTCGTGTCCAGGTCGTACGACATGCCGAACGGACAATTCAGGCGAAGCTCCAGTACGCGTTCCTGAGCATACCGAGCGGGAATGGGTTCCGACCCAAGGGTGATATTTTCCTGGCACCTCGGGCATACGTTATTGTGCAAATATTGCACACAAGGTCCGCCAACGACGTGAGCGCAAGGGCTAAGGACGATGGGATCTCTGAGCAGATTTTGGCATACACAGCAGATGAGATTGGCGTCGATCTCCTCGACCGCAAGACCCTCGACCCGCGGAACTGGTATACTTGTCGGCATGCGTTCCCGATCATGGTCCGTATAGAAGCCATCGGCTTTCGCGTATCCCCTTCGGCTGCGGGGATCGTTAAGCCAATGTAGGATACCCTGTTGCCTTGGAAGCTGTGTCAGCTCCTGCATGCTATGGAAATGCATGTAAATTGCACTCAGAAGCAAGTCGCAATCCTCCGAACGACACGACTCATCTCCCATCATCATCGTAGCGCATCACTCCTCGGTTCAGCGATTCAGCTGTTCAAGGCGATGGCTGCGAACAGGTGAGCCACAGTCAGTCCCAACTCTCCACAAAACGCTGGATGCGGTAGAAAGCTACTTGCCGTTGCATCCGCACCACAACGAACCTCTTTGAATCATTCCAATCGACGTGTGCATGCGAGTAACTTCTGGACCCTGCCAAGCAGCAAATGTCAGAACTCGATGAGATTTTTTCCGTTTCCTCGTCGTTCTGAACAAAATGGGAGTGAATGAGACCAAGAATTGTCATGAAAATTTGAAACCTTTAACCTCAAGAGTCAAAACATACACACTAGGAAGGGGCGGGGGGGGGGGGGGGGGGGGGGGGGGAGGGGATTGCTCTTTTAATCCACGCCTAACGATACGTAGCATTGGCATCGGACATAGGTGAGGCCATCAACGGACCATCCAGAGGAGGAGGCCAGACGGGTACTAAGTACTACTAATTGCTTGTGCTAAGCTATAGCTTGTAAGTTCCTTGAACTTGGTCCATTTAACGACCAGATCGCAAATTCCAGGCACAAAAATACAGCACCAGTGGGACATGAATCTGACTGCAAAGGCAGCAATGGTGCACTTACAGCCCACAATAGCCCAGCAAAAAACTAGGGTTGGCTTGGGAACCTGCTGTCCCCTTGGCAGAAGGGCTCCAGAGCTCAGGTGTGAGGCAAGGGGGATGCAGGGGACATTCAGCTTGGCATGAGGACGGCAACCGCCAAGAAAATCGCAACCGCCCTTCGAAGAACTTTTTTTTTTTTTTTTTTTTTTTTAAGGCTAATTCCTTAAGCCCAACCAATCCTGTCTAGAAGAACGTCGATGATGAGGCAGCCTTTGATCACAGGCTTGTAGCAAAGGCTGTATTGAAGGCAGTCCAAGGGCAGGATCGAGTACAAGAAGCCGTCATAGAGGTAATGAAAGATCTATGTAAAAGGCTTCTCCCCCCTCCCTCCCCCCCCCCAAACAAAAAAGATCTATGTAGGGCGGCGCAGGAACAGGAAGAAGAGGACATTAAAGATGCATTTTTTTTAAAAAGAATCATGCTTTTGTAAGGAGCCCGTCAAGTATGAGACCCTTTCACACCCTTCTAGCAAAACTTTCCACACCCTTCCAGGCCTTGTCTGGAAGCAGGCCCTGGGCCGCATCTGCAGCAGTATACACGCCGGGCAGTTGGGAGGCGTAACCCAACGGGGCCCAGCAGGAGCAGCAGCAGAGGCCCAGCTACCCGGGGCCTACCGGAAGCTTCTGGGCGCAGGCCCAGCCCAGCCAGGCGGCGCAGCAGGCCAGACACTTTCCATACAGGAAAGTGCCCGCCACCTGGCCAGTCGTTCGGGCGCTTGGAACTCATGCGGCATTGCTGCTTGAGCGTGCGCTGTGCAGGGTGCCCGTGCACGTGCGGTCATGTAAGATAGGGCGCTGCTGTGGGCAGCACCATAGCTCGGCTTCCATAGCCGGCCGGGGTTGGGTACACAGCAGGGGTGTAGTGGTGGTCTTCGTGCATGAGGGAGAAGACCTGGATGCAAGACAAGGGAGAGAGAGTAAGAGAGAGAGATGCGGAGGATGACGTGAGGGCACATACATGGTTATGGTGATAGTCTGCAAGTGGCGACATCTTCATGCACTTCGGTGGCTGCTGACGTCAACAGTTGCATCGTCAATTTGTAGGCAGATAGTAGCTGTGTGGTAGTGGTTTGGGCACCGAGCGCCAAGTGGGGGGAAGGGCCTGGACACTTATGTTGGTGATGACGAGAGTAAGCTCTCATTGACATTCGGTTTCAGTGTTTCGATTCTCCATTGGTGTAATATTGGTGCAATGCTGCTTTCTAGACACCGTGAGTGAGCACGCCATGAGGACAGTAGGTGGAGCACAGGAGCTAGGGGAGGGGTACTGTTTTGTACAGAGGTAGTCATGGGACGCTGGGCCCGGTTCCCAGCAGGTGAGGCCTCCCACACAATTCTCAGAAATTTTCAGTACTCTTCAGTATTCTTCTATATCTCTTAAAAAGATTTCAGCTAATTTCAGCCGATTTCACTGCAGCCTATTTTTTCTGTTGCTTTTCTGTTGCTTCAATGGGCGCCATGAGGATAGTGGGTGGATGGCAGAGGCTAGGGGATGGAGGGAGACTCCACCGGTGCCCCCCGGTGCCCCCCCCCAATACCCGACCCTGCTGCAGTCTAGGTATAACCCGGTTTCCAGCAGGTGTTGCTCCCCACGAATAGATGGAGCGGCCCGCTAGGCAAAGCCTCAATCCCGGTGGTTCTCTTACCACCACCAGGATAGAGGTCTTGCACAAGGGCCTTTCAAAA